ACAAACTCTATAGAAATTGATATTAAAAACCATACAGACCAGGACTTTTATCCCCAGCTCCCTCCCAAATAACCGCCTTTAAATCCTCCATAGAGAAAGGACCTTAAAGCAAAGATTTATCTATCTCATCCAAACTATGGAAGCTAGAACCTGCCAAGGCAAGCCTTCTATAAACCGATTCTTGAAATATAGCCTCAAAATGACTATTAACCTCTCTTTTCACATCATCCACCTATCCACCCACCCGTTCACCGTATTGATCCTAAAAAAATATTCCTCCTAAACCTTTGGTTCATAGCTTTATGAAAGAATTTTGAATTATAATCCCTTTCAACTAAGCACTTTTGCATGGCCTTTTGTCTGAGCATGTGTTCCTTATCAAAACTCGAACACCACACCTGATTGGTAGAACTAGATCTTTAAAGAGCCATCCCATCTACATCCAAAATACCAAAACTTATTTATTCTAACTTCTTAACGTACCTTGATATTTCTTTGAAAGAGTAAAAAACATTTCCCAACACATCCAAAGCTCTTCAAACCTTCTAAACAAAAGGAAGAAACTCTGGATGTTAAATCCAACAAAAAAATTAAAAGGATTAGGACCCCAATTATTAGAGTTTTCTTTGATGCAAATGGGACAATAATCAAAGAAATATCTATCCCCCACCATTTGACCTTCAAAGCTCCACTTAATAACTAATTCTTCTGATAACAAGAATATATCAAACCTAGTCATCGTCTTACCACTTAAATTAAACCAAGTGAACTTGTTCCTCGTCTAAACAATGTCAATCAACTTCATTGCCTCAATAAACTCATCAAAATTAACTATTTCACCAATAAACGAATATGTGATCTTCCTCTCACCCTATTTCTTAATAGCATTAAAATCACCCTAACACACCACAGTTTGCCCATAAAGTTGCTTTTGCAACCACTTAATTCTTTCCACGACTTCCTCTTCAAAATAATGGAGCAAGAAAAGTACACATTAACAATATTATAGATCCCTTTTTTCCAACCCACTTTGGTATCAACAAAGCCTTCACCAACAAAACTAAAGAAGAGGTAATTTCTTCCATATAATACGTAAGCCGACCAATATCCCAATAACACCCTTATAAGACTATTTCACCTCCTTATTCCCCCACAAAGCAATCACTAAATTTTCATCAACCAACTTCACCTTAGTTTCTTGGATCAAGCATACATCAAAGTCTTCCTTCCTAATTAAAAAATTTAAGCGATTTCTTTTGATCAAACTATCACACCCTTTAATATCGTAAGAAATAACATTAATTTCAAACCTGAACTAGTGGATTCCTTATGGCTTTTTGAGGCTTGATCTTTTAACTTTAAACCTTGAATAACTTCTACACGAAAATCAACATCATTCCCACTATCCACCCTAAAAGCAACAACTTGATCCCATAATTTCAAAGTTACATCCGTATTTGAGTTTCTCTAAAACCTTTGATTTCCTTAAAGCACATCTAGGGGTGGAAAAATAGGCAATGGCCCATCGGGCCGATCCGCGCACCCGCAAAAAATGATGGGTTGGGACTTTGTGCCCACGCTACCCGTTCAACCTGCCCCGTCTTAAGGCCGCCAAAAAATGGCGGGGTTGGCGTCAAACACTTTAGTTGTACTTATACTTGATTTCTTCAATATTGGTCTACTGTTGTTATTATTTGAGATGACAATTCAATTGTTGATTTCAAATATAGTTTGTTAAAAATATATCAAAATGTCTTGCTTTTTTGAAAAATATATGGATAATTTTGGCATGTATGTAAGCACATGAGTTATTTACAACTCAATTGAAAGTAAAGACATAATGATAATTTTGTATTCATTTATTGGAATTGAAATCAGTGTATCAAACTCCTTGTAAACAACATACACTAACTAAGAGTTTAAAACATGAATGTGACACATATTATCAATTAATTTAAGTATGCGTAAATAATATATTTATCCAAAGAAGAATTCTTCTGAGGTGAATTAGCTATTGCTAACTACCATAAATATAAAAAAGAACTTTATAACGGTATTTATAATGTCACCTATAAAATCTTACCAATCATGAAAAATGGTCCCTGCTCGTTGAAACGATAACAAAATCTAAAACGATTAAGAGATTTAAAAACAAAAATATAAATCCTAAATTGTGAGTTACAACAAAAGGCGTTATATTGAAGAATAACATAAACGTACCAACAAAAGACCTCGTATTATATTTGTGAATATACATATTTTTTTAAGTAAAATTTGTTAAAAAGATGTTTTATAAAAAAAATTTAAAAAATAAGTGAAAACTCCTCACCACACCAACACATACCCACCAGGAAAAAAATACTAGATGACGATTCCAAAATGGAAGAGCATCAAATTTTCGTATGGGAATAATCCTTGTTCGCTTGCTGACCACACCGTCCCACTTTTCTCAGAGGTTGAAGAGATGAGAAATATGATTTTTGAATGATAAAATTTGGCTCAGAGTTTTGAGGATGAAGAGCATAACCAGTGGAAAACGGCTTATTCGATTGTTGGACGTTACCCTTCTACACAACAAAAACATTTGCAAATTGGCCTTTTGTCAACCCAGGCCCAAGTTGATCCAGATCCTGCATATTTTTCACACCTCTAAACAATCTCTCCCTATGAAAGACTCAATGGTCTTCACTTTCTTCACATGGGCTTTATAAGGCGAAGGCCTAATAAATTCACTTATTTGCTATCCAGAAATCTGTTTGATCACATGCCTACCTTGGACTTCTTTCTCGTTACTATTGATATTGAGGGGGTCTACATGAGAATTGACTTCAACCACCACCTTTTCAGATTCCCTAATACCATATGACTAAGGGCTAAGAAACTTCAGTGGATCAAGCACGATAACTTCCTCCAAAGAAGGAGAAATAGACCTGGGGTAACTAACTCCAACAATTGTCACTTCTACATTGGTGAATAATTCTGCAGCGTCCTTTTCACCCTGCACCAACCCTACCTCTACAGAGGTAGACATACCCGTCGTACCTGTCCTGTTTCAATCACAAGCCTTCATATTCTCTAACAAATTGATTGTTTCCACAATGGGAACAACACCAACATCCTCCTTATTACCTTCCATGTCATCATCTTTCCCAACAACATCTTATTCTTTCTCTAATCTGACTCCGACGAATCCACCATGTATTTCGACGTCGAGACAAATAACCTTAGAGAACCATAAGAGTTCTCCACCAACTTCAATCTAAACAAAACACCATTAATATTAACCTTAAAATCCTCAATAAAAAACACACTTTGTTCTAATAAATAACCGAGCAACATCCATATTGGATTCAAAATGAGTACTCTCATTAAAACAAAGACACTTCCTCACGGGTTTAGTGATGAACTCAAATTTGTTTGAATTCTATGCATGACAATGAATGCCAAAAACACATACACACAACACTTTTTATTTGTTCACCATTTCTAGTATCCACCGCTTCACCTCTACAAACCATTGCTTCTGCTATTCAACCTCTAGCTCCCCTAGAACCCTATCTTCCAACAAACATATATTGACCCCCAAAGGAGTGATTTTTATAGCAAAATGACCTTCCTTATCAAAGATATTTTGCATATTATACGAAGAACCTGCATGCACAATCACACATACATAAGCTTTAGAAAATGTTGATCAAATGTCTTCTTCCTCAACCTCAAACTCCATTGAAGGACCAACAAAACCAAACTCCCTATTAGAAACATACACCACATGCGCATAAAATTTCCCCAAGCCACCACCTCTATCCAAAGCAACCCCACCATCACCAACACATATAACCTTACCATTCTTTAAGACCATATCTGAACCTTGAACCTGCATAAACTTCTTCTGCTCAGCTCTACTGCCTCCAATGGAGTTCTGGAATGACCTTTGAAAACTTGGGATGTTAACAATTTTTTTAATGTGCAATGAAAATGTTATCAAATTTTGTAGATAGCATATCTGCATTCTTCACATGGAGGAACCTAGCAAAACCGAACCTTCTTCCTCTCTTATCCCTTCTGGAAGGAATCACCACCTCTTCAACCTTGTCGTACTCACTGAAAATGTCAAACCGCTCTCTAGAACTGAGATACTTAAGAAAAGAAGTGAAGAAGAATGAGGATAACTCATTAGGCTTAAAACGAGAGTGGCCAACAATGTTCATAGTTGAGACTTTTCTCCTCATGTCTGAAACTTGCTGCCATCTACCACCATCTTCAACGTGGTTTGAGAAAGTCGGTCTTCTCTTTCCTCACTTTCAACCACTTTCTCCACTCCCCCCACTTTATCCACTCTCCCCCACTTTCTCTCCAATCCCCTCTTTCATCTTTTATTTGTGATGTTTTTTTTTTAATTTTTAAATCTATCTCTTCCTCTTATTTCCATGCCCGCCTTCCTTCAACATTTAAACATAAATATAATCGTCCCAAATTTTTTTATTTTGTATTTTTTCTAAACCAATACACAATCCCCGCATTTTTTAACATTATATTCTTTTTATAATCATTTTCTTTAGAGATGTAATAATTTTTAAATAAATAAAAACTATCCATTAACCCATTTTTAAATTTTGACATTAATTTAATTTTATACACTTTGAATTATAAATAAATATTCTAATGGAAGCACAATGCGAGATAAAGTGAACTATTTGAAAAATAGTGCGATAAATTTTAAAGTGAACTATGTCAAATTTCAAAAGTTTATGAACTGTTTGTAAACTTGCAATTGCAACTCATATCTCCCTTTTTTTCTTCGTAAAAAAGTAAAAAAGCCTCTTCAAAGTTTAACCGGGCGAACCTTCTGAACCGTTCGGTTTGGTTTGTTGGTTTACTATTAGTTTTTATTTTCCAAAAGAACCGAAGCAATTTGATTTTAGATAGCGGCATTTTAACGCGCCGTGGAATTGAGGTGTGCTCGCACCGGAACTCGCAGAAAGACGGTGTTAGCAGCCATGACTGCCGTCAAGATCGAAGAGTTCGAAGGAGACGTAGTTCCAACTACCGATCACTTCTTCGTCAAGATTGGAGAACCCGTTTCTTTGAACTCCGATGACTCTAATTTCGATCTCCAAACTCCACCTTCTCAACCTCTCTCACTCTCCGAACGTTTTCTTCTCACTTTTGTTGCTCATTCTTCCGGTAAACTAAACCTAACTAATCTTAAGAGTAACGCGCTTTTCATTTTCAGTTACAAGTCACGTTTAAGCGATTTTATCTTTGTTTTTAGGTTTTTATGTTGTGAAGACGAAAGACCTTATTGATTCCGCTAAAGGAAGTGGCTCTTCGGTGGAAGAGTTGAGTCTTGTTGATGTTCCTATTGGTAGAGTTCGTATATTGGCTGTTTCTACTGACAATTCATTGCTCGCTACTGCTGTTGCTGGTGATATTAGGTTTTACTCTGTTGATAGCTTTCTCAATAAGGTTTGATGAACAATGTCTTTACTTTACGCGGCATTCTCGTTTCATACAAGTAAACAAAGCAGCAATCATGCTTTACTCGGCATTCTTGTTTGTATGCGCGATATCTCAAATTAGAGTAGAACTTTGCATGCTTGGAATGTTTATTTTCAAATAAGCATATACTATTGATTTGGATGCTTTGAACATGTCTATAGTCCATACAAACTCAAATACAAATAGGCTACATTTCTGTTTGGTTCAACTTTAATTTGGGTTTAGTTTTCCCCCTTTTTTTGTTTGAAGGTGGCCAATTTTCAATTATTGCATGTAAAATGGTTATGCTAAGTGATGATGTAGCAAAATTCCATATTTCATAAAATGTGTCCGTGTCCTCAATTAGTTAACAAAGTAGATGTTCTATTGTTGCTGGAACATTGTTTTGTATGCATTTTCTGAGTAATGTGTCTTGGCTGTTTTCGGTAATCCCGTTTTCATTCCAAATGCTCTGTCCTTAACTTTCGTTCCAAATGCTCTGGCTTTAGATTTCGTCCCAGAGGCACAGTCCCCCATCTTCGTCCCTGTTGCACTTGCCTTGACTTTCTTCCTAGGTGCATTGAGCCCATCTTTGTTCCATATGCATGGGCTTTATTTCTGTCACATAAGCAGTTCTCAGACTTATTTTCAAGTAAAATGTTTTGGGTCTGATATTATTGGTTTGAATCTTCCAAATGTTGTTTTGAGAAGTTGTTCAATTGTTTGCCATGAATTTCTTGCAGAAAGATGGCCATTCCCGCTATCTGGCTAGACTATCTATCTAGCAATTCTCTCCGATTTCATATGCACCCCTGAGTTGGCTTTCCATCCTTTTAATTTTTTGTGTGGAGCAATACGTTGTTTTCTTGTAACAAGCTAGGATCAGTTTTCAATCTTTAGCGTATTTTAGATTATCTCCTAGTATTAATTTCCATAATTATTACTTGTTGTTATTGTTATTATTAATACTTATTGAATTCCCTAATTATTTAGGATTGAGTCTATCCATCCCTATAAATAGGGATTATTGTTTAGTCTCTGGTATAAAGTCATTATCAAGTTATTATCAATAATCAATAATACTCGTAGTTCTTATTATTTTCTCTCCTCCTTTTATCTAAAACACCACAACTTCAACAAACCTATTTGTATTCTATAATCACTTTATGAACTGAAGCAAATCTAACCGAATGATTTGACCTTTGCCAAGGACACATGACATTGATATATTTTTTTGTATTATCATTTCACAGGAAGTGAAGCTATCCTTTTCCTGTTCACTCAGCGATTCAGCCTTTGTCAAGGACATGCGATGGACAACATCATCAAAAAATTCTTATGTTGTTCTTTCAAATACTGGGCAATTATACCGCGGCGAGGCTGGTTTTCCTCTTAAACATGTGATGGACAGTGTTGAAGCTGGTATGCTTTATTCTTCTGTTTTTAACTCACCAGTTGAACGTGTTCACGCGTCATTATAAATATGTAGTATGTTTGATGTTTTTGAATTTGAATGGTCAAAAGGTTCCAATTGACTGATTTTAAAATTTGAATTACGGTTCATTACTGTGTGTGTGGTGTGCACCATTATTTAATTATTATGGTTTATTTATTTTCATCATCGTGCTTTGGAGATGGTTATGATATTGTCTATACACTGTTAAGATGCTTCTCAGTTTCTTCCTCCCTTGAATTCTCAGTCACCTCATATTTGAATAGTGGTAGGGGCATTGGGTGTTTGCCGTGTATTGGAGTCCAATCATATGTTTGGTTCAATGTATTTTGACATTCTCAGTTATTTGTCTTGATTTGTTTCTTTGTGAAGTTGATTGGTGTGTAAAAGGGACACTAGTTGCCGTGGCTAGAAAAAATGTTCTGAGCATTTTATCCACTAAGTTTGAAGAAAAGGTTTCAATTCCACTACCCTTCAGATCTTGGATTAGCGACTCTGAGGCAAATGTCAGTGTAAAAGGTTTGCATTTTTTCTTTCATTTTTCTTTTTAGTATGTGTGTACGTATATTACACTTCCACTATTTTGGGCCAATGAATCAATTAAAAAAATGGCTTGTCAAAGCTATCAAAGTGAATGCTGGCAAAGCTATCAAAATGAATGCTGGCAAAGCTATCAAATTGAATGCTGGCAAAGCTATCAAATTGAAGACTAAATAACTATTTAATAAAAGTAATTTTCTATTTGCCAATCCCTTTTTAAACTAGAAAACAAAATATAATTTCTCTACTTGCAAAAACAATGAAAAATAACTGCACAGTAATAGAAGTCAAAAGGATGGTAAGTCATATTTATAACAGTAACATAAGTATAGAAATAGTACAATATTTATATATAGTCTTAACTATTTATAATTCTTTAAAAAAACCATTTATCGTCTTAATTATTTAATGAATAGTATTTATATTATTTTACATGATTATTTATTAATCTTATTATATAACAAGTATAAATAGAATAGCAGTCATCCAAGTCACCCAACACCTCGTTATCTAGCAATCCTAGTTTTGGGGTAGGCCACCCCTCTCTTATCTGGGTAGATAACAATTTAGAATGAACACATTAAATTGTTTATATGTCGTGCATGCATCTAATCTGAGTCTTTCTTGAACAATTGTACCAGTTGATTCTGTCAAGTGTGTTCGACCGGACTCCATTATAGTTGGATGCTTTCAACTTACTGATGATGGACAGGAGGAAAATTATCTTATCCAAGTTATTAGCAGCAAGCTTGGTGAAATTTCTGATGTAAGTTCAAGATCTCTGCAGGTGCTTCGTTAATAACGACTATTCTACCCACATGTACACCTTAACATTTAATGAGACCTCAGAAGGTCAAAATAACAACCATATGCTCTCATATTGAAACTGAATATTTGCTTGTCATATTGTTTGGTTTTTGGTGAAGTAAACCTAATTTCTAACAACTACTTATTACAGTTGAAGTAAACCTCAAAAGGTCAAAATAACAACTACTTATAGATAATTTCTAACAATTGTGTTCATAGGATGCAGTATTTAAAAAGCTGTGTAACCCAAGAAAATTGCAGTTGTTTATTCTCATGTAGCATTAAACTCTGAATTTGTATTTTCTCTTGCAGGATTGTTCTGAATTAGTTGTCCAATCATTCTATGATAATTACCCACTACTTGTTGATGATATTGTATCCCCTGGAAGTGGGCCCTACCTTTTATTGGCTTATTTAGAACAATGGTAAATATTTTCCATTTCATGTTCCAAAGTACTAATCTTGTCTCCTTATATATATTTCCCTGTTCCTTGGCCTATTTTTTTCTTAACATGTCCTTACATATATTTTAAGTATGCATGCAATCTGGTGTGTTATCCCGGGTTCCTTACATTATGGATTTCTCCAACTATATGACAAAACCTCCTTTAGGTTAAAAAGTCTAGAGCCAAGATTTAATCTGTTTATAAATACCGGAATCAATTATTCATGAATAATAATGTCCTATTAGTTATTTTTTTGTTTCTAAGTGTTTCATTGCGAGATCTAAAATCACGGATTTTGTTAGTTTTGTCACCTGATCATCTTTTAAGACTTTAAACATATTTGTTTATCGTCAAAAAGTTGCTTTTCGCCTTTTATTTTTTACTATCTACATCTTTTAAACATGTCTATCTGTTATCAGCATCATTCTTTATCTTCCAAGAGTTTTGTTAAATTTATTTCTCCATGAAACCAAACAGAATGCAAATTGATGGCTAATTGTTTTTAATAACAGCCAACTTGTGATCAATGCCAACATGAAGAATACAGATAACCACATTAGCTTGCTTGGTTGGTCAGATGATGGTGATAAGGGTGAAGCAGCAATTGTTGATAAACTTGAAATTGACCGATCAAAGTGGATTCCAAAAATTGAGCTTCAAGGTACTTAAGAATTGATAATAATACTCGTTGCATTCTGTCTCTCCCTTTATCCTCCTTTCAATTCATGGCGTGTCTACATTGTATGTTTATAGAACTTAATACTCTCTTTCTTGACCTAATACAGCAGTAAAGTAAATTTTTATTGACCTATATCTTGGATTGAGTTTTATATTTTACACAACTTAGCTTACATGCTTCTTTTTCAGCAAATGAAGATGATAATCTTCTCTTGGGATTATGTATTGATAAAGTTTCAATATATCAAAAAGTTGGAATTCAACTTGGTGCAAATGAGGAAAAAACTGAGCTCTCACCTTATTGTGTTCTTATGTGTCTCACACTGGATGGGAAACTTGTTTTGTTTCATGTTGCCAGGTAAGTATTTGAAGTTTATTGCTATTGCTCTTCCATTTCATGAACAATATATGAATAGTTGTGTTGGATAGAAACAAAAATGTAAGATGCAACGTTTAAGGTGTACCATCTAAAACATGATGTATTGATGCACCACTTTTTGAATTTTTAATTCATCAAGGGTCTTGATTGACATGTGTAAAATTGTTCATTTCTCTTCTTTATTCATCACTTCTCCCATGCCCCCTCTGTGTTCCCCTTTCTTTTGGTCCACCGCCATCTCCAGGTCACGCCAATGGCTACTCCACATAACCATTCACTATCATAGCTATATGAGAAAGGAACGTGTCCAAACATCATTTACCATTGTTAGCGTGTAAAACCCAATATACTCAAAACACCAATATACCTTTTATAAATCAAGATAAATAAGAAATTTTGGATCAATACCTCAAACAAACATTAGAAAGAAGATCAAAACTTGAACAGGCTGAGTGCTATAAAAATGCTAAAAATAGTTCCAAGGAAAAGTTGTACCGATAGCCCATTCTAAAAGGTGAAAAGCAAGAGATGCGGAATTCCATTTTTGTCCATGGTATACAGGTTGAGAAAGGACAAAATAGCCCATCCTAAAAGCCACCAAAATTTAATCTTCTCTACGTGCTTCAAAGTTTTCAAACTTCAAAGGCTGAGGGTTTTTTTGTCTTTAGTCTTGCAGGAAGTAAAGTTTCACCTGAGGTTGATTCTACTGAGCATGATGAGAAAGATGCTCCTGTAAAGCTACCTGTTGATGAAAGCTCCACCTTTTCTCATGGATTGCAAAAAAAGGAACACGAATTGGGTCAGGTATTTTTTTTTGGGTCTTTAGTTTTTGAATATGAAAAGGGAAAGAGTTAGTCCACTGAATAGACTGCCAATGACAGTTCTTAAAAATATTATTTGCAGGATGTTGAGGTTAGGCCTTTTGCTAAAGATTATACCGAGTACCCTGAAGTGGGATCAGCAACAAGTGTACAGTCTTTGAAGTCTGATGTGCTGCAAATGGTTCCAAGTGTAGATGTGAAGCAAGTTAATGATAATCACGATAATAGTTCACGAGACTCGCAAAGAGCTTCTCATCTAGTGCCTGGTGGAACATTTTTATTCTCCAAAAACTCTAACGTGACTTCAGTTTCTGGTTCAAGTTATGTTGTTGGTAGTGGTTATCAAAGTAAAAAATATACCACGGGTGCTACAAATGCCAACACTCCCAACGTTCCTGGTAGCATAGGTGGAAAGCCTTTTTTTGTAAAGGATGCAAATGTTGAATCTCCTGCTACCTCTGCAAATTTTCCTGGTAGCACTGGTGGAAAGCCTTTTCATGTAAAGGATGTGAATGTTGAATCTCCTGGCGTCTACTCTGCCAGTAGGCCTGTTCAGAGTGGTGGACAACTAACTTCCGTAGGAGCAGAAAGTTCACATTTGTCATTACTCGGAAATTCTACGACTGGAAAGTCATCTATACGAAAGTTTCATCCTTCTGATGAGCAGCATGTAAATTCATCCAAGCCTGGGATTTCAAGTTCTGATTTGTCAAAGCAGTTTGGCAATGTATTATTTCTGGAAATCTTTCTTAGTTTTGGCATAATTGATGGTAGATCTTTCCCCATAATGGGCACTACTGATGAAGATATTTTTATTTTTATAAAACTGATGAACATATATTAGTTTATCCTTTTTTTGTCGTTTTTCCTGCAAGGAGTCCTCATCGCCCTGTTCTGTATTTTTCTTACTGCTATTAAATTCCTCAATAGTTATTAAATTAGAGGGATAGAAATGTATAGAGTATGATGACAAAGACTCTTATAGCCCTTTCCTTGTTCTTATTGTGCTATTACTTTTGCCTCTACCCTAGATTAATGAGATGACCAAAGAACTGGATCTGCTTTTAAAGTCGGTAGAAGAGGCTGGAGGCTTTAGAGATGCTTGCACCAGGTCACTACAAAGTTCAATTGAGGAAGTGGAGCACAACATGGACACTCTATCTAAACAATGCAAAATACGGATGGTGATGTTTCTTTCGTTGCTTGAAATTCATTTCACTGACTTGTTAAAACTTTGGGTTATTTCTTTCACTTTCTTAGATTATTTGTTCTTATTAGAATATAAGAGGTGAATGCGATAATTATTTATTCCCCAGCCCAAGGTTGGTTTAAATAGAGTGGGTACAATTAATTCTTTTTCTTGAATCAAGGAGAAAATAGCCACAAAAGAAAAATAAAAGGAAACATGGAAATATCTAGAAGCACCTAGAAATAATACTCCCCACGGTCCTATTTATAAGTAGAGACAGATTAGTTTTTAGAAGAAAAATAAAAGGAAACATGGAAATATCTAGAAGCACCTAGAAATAATACTCCCTACGGTCCTATTTATAAGAGACAGATTAGTTTTTAGATTCATTCAACAATCAATATATTTGGTCTAATAATAGATCAAATGCATTAATTATTAATTATTCAATAAATTTAAAAAGTAACTTGTCTCTTATAAATAGGACCGGAGGAAGTAATAAATAAATATACACGGACACTCCTTTCATTATTCTTTTTAAAGAATAGGCCTCTTTCTGGATTTTGCCTTAGATATCTCATTATTCTATAAATTGCCTCTTTCTTAAGAAGAGAATGTATAAGCTTACTAGAAGGCGATGTCAAGTCTGGTGTGTGACAAATCAGTTTACCAACCAATCTCTAGTAACTTTCAGTATTAACAAAAACATTACCTTCTCCCAAAAGTTTTGCATTAGGGTCCATGGGGTATGTGTTGGTCGACAACAACTTTTCTTCCTATAAATCTAGAATATATTTTTGCTGTGAAACCATAAATCCTTTCTTTGATTGAGCATCCTCCATACTAAGAAAATATCTCAAGAATTCCTAGTTCTTGATTTCAAAGTCTACAACTAGTTTCACTTAAAATTTCTCAAGCATTCCAAATCCTTGATTTCAAAGTCTACAACTAGTTTCTCTTAATTGTATCACCTCCAATAAGGACGATATTATCAACACAAACAATCAGAGTACCAAATTTCCCATCACAGGAGAACTGTGTGAACAAGGTGAGGTCAATCTATCCTTGAATGTATCATTATTTCTTCATGGATTGAGTGAACTTTTCAAACCAAGCTCTAGGAGACAACTTTAATCCACACAAAGACTTCTCTAGTTTGCGTACATTTGATCCAAATTTGTCTTCAAATCCCGCAATAATGTCCATATATACTTCTTCTAGATCACCGTTTGATAAACATTCTATTTGGAAAAACCAAGTCCCACCCGCATATCAATCCAGGCTGCCTACCATTCATATCCATGCACCAAGCGTGATAGTGTTGGGCTTGAGGGGGGTGTAATGAGAAAAATCCTAGTCCAATATGCAATTAAGATATAGTCTAAAAAGAAGACATTACTTACCTTACAAGTCGGTTTTGTAAGATTGATTTAGGTCTAACTTAATTCTAATATGATATTAGAGTCTATCGATTCAGGCCATCCACCATTTATCTACAAAAACATTAAGATAAGTGCATCCTTGGGCTGAGTGACGGTGAAAAACAAAAAGGTTAGCTTCACTACAAATCATACCAAACCGTTGTACTTCTGTACTAAATCCGTCAAACCAAGCTTGAAGAGACTCTTTTAGACCATAAAGGGACCTGTATAGCCGACAAACGATGGTAGATGACTCTCCTTATGCGGCAATAATAGGAGGAACATGGATTACTACTTGAAGAAGTTCAGGAGCTACATGGGTCAACTCAAAATATGGAACAGAATAGAAAAAGGTAACATCAACATATATGATATGACGTATCAACTCAAAATATGGAACATAATAGAAAAAGGTAACATCAACATATATGATATGACGTATCATTGTTGTGTATGAGAATAACAATGACACTCTTTTATGAACAAAACATGTTTCAAGGAGGAAAGGGGGTGAAGATGGGTTTGGGGATAGAGGACCGAGTGAGGGATAATGCCATCAAGGACAAAAGAGGTCATGCAATTTATAAGATACCATGCTATTAAAAAAGCATCCCCAAAAATAGAGATAGGACAATACCATGGAGAAAGTGGGTAGTGTTTCAATGAGATGCTGATTTTGTGTTTGGTCACCCCATTCTGTTGAGGTGTCTCAAAATGTCTCTTTGTTATAGTTTTAAATTGATTTTTTTTGTTAATTGGTGTTCTATTATGTAAATGTGTCCTTTGTGTCATTTTATGGTTTTTACAGTGATTATTTATTTTTCATAAGACTCACAAATTTACGAGTCTAAGTCTACGTAGACTCGCGAGTCTGACAACCTCCTACGTTTTACTTGGTCTACAAGAAATGTGACATGTTCAAAGCCCATACCCATGAAAACCAACCAAAACATCAAGTCAAGCTGAAATAATCAAAACTCCAACCTCTTCCTTTTGATCTTGTAGTATACTATCTCTGTCCCAAATTATGAGTCACTTTGCCAAAAAAGTTTGTCGCAAATTATAAGTCACTTTACAATCCCAATGCAACATTAATGACTTTTTTTTCCAACATATCCTCTATCATTTATTATTATTTCTTCTTTCAATTCTTTAAATTTCTCTTTCATCAATAATAAATGAAGGACAATATTGTAAAGTTATGCATAATTTGCCTTTCCCATACAACAATAATTATGTTTCTTAATATGCGTTGTTGGACTTTCCGCCTTAATTGCGGTCCGCCCCTAGTCGCCTTAATTGCAGCTCTTTGGCTTGCCTCATTGCTGTCCCTAACACCTTCATTGTGTTAGCTTTGAAGGAGTGGATTTAGTCCCGCATTGCTTAGAGATATGGCTTGTGTTGTGTTTATAAGTGGGGGCAATCTTCACCTTACAAGTCGGTTTTGTAGGGATGAGTTAGGTCCAACCCAAATTCTGAGATGGTATCAGAGCCTATCCTAAATCTATTGTTGGGCTTCCTGCATCGTCCACGCTTTGGGCTCATTGGGGCCCAAGCGTGAGTGGGTGTGTTGGACTTTCCGCCTTAATTGCGGTCCGTCCCTAGTCGCCTTAATTGCGGCTCTTTGACTTGCCTCATTGCAGCCCCTAACACCTTCATTGTGTTAGCTTTGAAGGGGTGGATTTAGTCCCACATTGCTTAGAGATATGACCTGTGTTGTGTTTATAAGTGGGGGCAATCCTCACCTTACAAGCCGGTTTTGTAGGGATGACTTAGGCTCAACCCAAATTCTGAGATGCGTAAAAGGTGCAAAACGTCTTATAATTTGGGACAGAGGGAATATATGCTTATCTAGAGTATACTTGAAGTTTCAATTTGATTATAGTTTACAACTGGTTGATGTTTCTAGTTCTGCATTTTATTTGTGTATTAGATGTCTATTTTATTTAAATGTATTTTACTTTGTTCTGTTTTTGTTCTCATGAAACTTTGCCTGTTTCACTTTTCAGGGCCAAGTGGATCAACATCTTGAGGAGGTTCATTATCTTCTTAACAAGACAATACAAGGTTCTATTCTTTAATAGGCGTGTTTTTATTCTTTAATTTTAGTATGTAATTTGCTTTTTATTGAATTGTTCTCAAAAGAAATTATAAAATTGCATCAATCCAGCAATAGAAATGAGAGTATATTGAAAAATAAATGGTGAAATACTTTTTTTTGAATATTTTTTTCAGTAATCATTTTATTCTTACATATTCCCTCCGTCTCATTGTTAAATTTCACCTTTGGAATATTTATCTCGGGTTGGGCAAGTGAAGTCTCTTTTTCTTTTATTCTTTTCAATTATATTTAGTCTTGGCCAAAATTTGGGTCCGTGAAACATTTTAGCTTCAATTAGGTTCTTAAAAAGTTTATCTTCCATCTATGGAAGAAGTTGACAGCCACATTATCAAAGTACTGGACCATATTAATTGCTAACCAATTGCTTGCCTTCCAAGTCCACAATTTCAATCATTGGACCTGAGGATTCTGTGTGATTTGTATAAGAATTATTCACGGCTCAAACTTCAATTTAGCCTCACATATTTTATTTGTTACACTAAATAAAAACTCAATTTTTTATATATAAAAAACCACATTTGTTATCATGAGTCCCCGACATGCTAGTTTTAATTGTGTAAATCTTTTCTTTTTCTGGTCAAATTAACAAATCAGCTTTTCTCGGTTTGACCTAAATGTTTATCTGGTTGAATATCAGTTGTGGCAAGAAAAGTATACTTGGAAGACATATATAAGCAAGCCTGTGATAGCCGATATTGGGACCTATGGAATAGACAAAAGTTGAATTCAGAACTAGAGCTAAAGCGACAGCATATACTGAGTCTGAATCAGGTATGTGGGTTAATTTGAATCAGGTATGTGGGTTAATTTTCCAACAAAATGTTTGTAGCCTGGGGTTTACCAAGTTTTCTCAATAATTATTTCAGGATTTAACTAATCAGTTAGTTGAATTGGAGAGACATTTCAATGCCCTTGAACTGAACAAATTCAGTCAATATGGTGGGCATCACATTGGTCGCGGAGCTTCACAAAATAGATATGGACCTTCAAGGTATGCTTAACTTGCCGTGGCTTTTGCAATTAGTGCTACTAATAATCAGTTAACCTAATGCAGTTCTTGTAATTTGAATTGTTGAGATGTTGGTTTCATCTAGATCGATTGGCTTGTCTGCCGCAGTATACTATAGATCATTTACATACACTAATCATTAGGCATAGACATTGGCTGTCTTTTGTTTCCTAGCCAATTTTCTCTTTTATATTTCTTTGGTGTATTTTTATTTTATCTGTTATTTTGCCTTACCATTCAAAGCTAGTATAGATCCTTTGGGTTGTGCCTAATGCTAGTATGTTGAAAGGCCATTCCAGAGTTCCTGTTTTACTATAGATCATTTACATACACTAATCATTAGGCATAGACTCTAGTATGTCTTGTTTTGATGTGTTCCTCTTGTGAATTTAAAGAGGTTAAAGGTTGTTTTATTGTGATAGAATATAGAACATGTTGAATATTAGCACAAAATCAAAACAGATTCTGTCATACAGCTCATTATGGCTGGATTCAAATTGTGATTAAATAGAAATTAATTGTATTATTATATTCTTACCTTATTTAGGATTAGCATTTATAGGGAGAATAATTACCCCTATTTCTTAGTGTAATTTATATTCTATAAATACTCATGTACTATGTTACAGAATAAACAATATAGAAAAAGCATATTTCTATATGGTATCAGTAGCAACAAGAATCCTTTAGGGTTTTTTTTTTTTTTTGTTTTTGCTTCCGCTCTGTTTATCTTTTTTACATCCCACAATGTCTGATACCGAGTCCTCACTTTCACCCAAACATTCCTCACCCGAACCTAAATTAGTCCGAACGTACCATGAAAACCACCCTGTTCAGATCACAACAATTCGGCTGAACGGTGCTAATTATCTTCGATGGTCGCAATCCGTTCGTATGTATCTCAGGGGGAGAGGAAAGATTGGCTACATTACTGGCGACAAAAAACAACCAGACAAGGCAGGTGCAGATTATGATACATGGGATGCTGAAAACTCCATGGTCATGACATGGTTAGTCAACTCCATGGATGAAGAGATAGGTGCAAATTATCTCTGTTATGATACTGCAAAAGAACTTTGGGAAGGTGTCTCCCAAATGTACTCTGATTTGGAAAATCAATCCCAAATCTACGAATTAACTCTCAAATTGGGAGAAATTCGGCAAGGTGAAGATTCAGTCACCAAATACTTCAATTGTCTCAAACGTATTTGGCAAGATTTGGACCTTTTCAATGAGTATGAGTGGAAATCACCTGCCGATAGCAAACATTACAAGAAGATGGTGGATGTTAGTCGTGTTTTCAAGTTCCTTGCGGGTCTAAATGTTGATTTTGATGAGGTTCGTGGCCGAATTCTAGGCAGAAATCCTATCCCTCCAATTGGTGAAGTCTTTTCAGAAGTACGTCGCGAAGAGAGTCGTCGGCAAGTGATGCTTGGAAAAAATACAGCAGCTGTCCCTCCACCAGTTGAAGGATCTGCCTTGGCAATTCCCCATGTCAATCGTAAACCACTTCATAATCAACGAGGTGGAGACAAGACTCATTTATTTTGCGATTACTGTGGGCGCAATCGCCACACTCGGGAAACTTGCTACAAACTACATGGGCGACCAAATCATGGCAAGGCTGGTAAGTTTGGTGATCGTCCTATGCCTATGGCCAATGAGGCTGATTCGTCTCCATGTACGAAGGAGCAAATGGATAACCTTCTTAAGTTTCTAAAGTCCAATTCATCTCTTAATATCCCTACTGGAACTGTGGCACAAACAGGTAAGGATTCTTGGGCACTATCTGCTCACAACTACTCTAACCCTTGGATAATAGATTCAGGGGCATCTGAACACATGACTAATTGCTCTCATCTATTCAGTACCTATTTTCCTAGTTCAGGTTTTGAAAAAGTTAGGATAGCTGATGGTAGTTATTCAAGTATTGCAGGCAAAGGCAGCATAAAAATTTCAGAGCAAATCACTTTGCAATCTGTTTTACATGTTCCTAAATTCGCTTGTAATCTTCTATCTGTTCATAAATTGTCTAAGGACACTAATTGTTCTGTTCTTTTTCGTCCCTCTACTTGTGTTTTTCAGGACCAGAACTCGGGGAAGACGATTGGAACTGCTAGAGAGATGAATGGATTGTACTACCTTGATGGAATTCAGTTTGGCAATAAAGCGTTTTTCGGTTCAAACAGTACAAACGCATCTCCTGTTTCAGATCAAATTATGTTATGGCATAAAAGATTAGGTCACCCTAGTTTTTCATATCTTAAGCATTTGTTTCCTATTTTTTCCAAAGAAATAAATTCCTCACAATTTCATTGTGAAGCTTGTCACTTAGCTAAAGATCATCGTGTGTCTTTTAAATCAAAAGCCTATTCTGCGTCTAAACCTTTTTATTTAATTCACAGTGATGTTTGGGGTCCTTCAAAAATTAAAACTATGTCTGGAAAAAAATGGTTTGTAACATTTATTGATGATCATACACGGCTGTGTTGGGTTTATCTCATGGAGAAAAAATCAGAAGTTGAACAAAGATTTCAAGATTTTTTTAACATGATTAACAATCAATTTCAAACTAAGATTGGCATTCTAAGGTCTGACAATGGCACTGAATATTTCAACAAATATTTAAGTACATTCCTTGTAACTAAGGGGATAATTCATCAATCCACTTGTCGCGATACTCCGCAGCAAAATGGTATTGCTGAAAGAAAAAATAGACATCTCCTCGAAGTCACTAGAGCTATTATGTTTTCTATAAATGTACCTAAGTATCTTTGGGGAAATGCTTTATTAACTGCTTGTCACCTCATCAATCGAATGCCATCTCGGGTGTTACAATATGAAAGTCCTGTACAAGTGTTACAAAACAATTTTCCTACATCTCGTATTATTACGGATCTTCCCCTTAAAATTTTTGGTTGTCTTTGTTATGTTTACATCCCCAATGTTTTTCGTTCTAAGTTGGATCCTAAAGCCGAAAAATGTGTTTTTCTTGGCTATGCTTCCAATAAAAAGGGATACAAATGTTCTAACCCAGTTACAAAGAAATTTTTTGAAAGCATGGATGTTCACTTTGTTGAAAATCAACCTTTTTTTAAAAATTCTCTTCAGGGGGAGAGTCAATGTAATAATAAAGAAGATAATTTTTGGGAAACTTTGCCTGCTCTAGATGATATTGTGACTACAAATCACCCAAATGCTAAGATAATAGAATCTGAAACAGGGGGAGAAACACTGATTAAGGATGATAATCCTGAACTTAAAGTGTATGTTCGAAAAAAATTCCACAAAGGTGGTGCAAACCCTATTGTCTCTCCAGTAGAAATCCAATCTGATTTACCAAGTGAAGGTCCTACAGATAATCTGTCTTCTAGTTCTTCATCTGGTAATCCTTCTTACTCATCCAATGATTTATCTGATTTGTCTTTTCCTGATATTAATCTTCCAATTTCTGTGAGAAAAAATATTCCTGACCTCGATGTCCCAATTGCTGAGAGGAAAGGTTCTCGTATGTGCACTAAACATCCTATGTCTAATTACTTGTCATATGACAAACTATCACACACCCATAAGGCATATGTGTCTAGGATTTCTAATTTGTTTGTGCCCAGAACTATTCAGGAAGCATTAAGTGATCCGAATTGGAAATTAGCAGTGAAAGAAGAGATGGATGCTCTAAACAAAAATAACACTTGGAGTATCACTGATCTACCACAAGATAAAAAGGCAGTAGGGTGTAAGTGGGTCTTTACAGTGAAATGCAAGGCTGATGGAAGTGTGGAAAGATACAAAGCGAGATTAGTAGCAAAAGGATTTACTCAAACTCATGGTATTGATTACCAAGAGACTTTTGCCCCAGTTGCTAAGATCAATTCTATCAGAATTCTTCTTTCTCTTGCAGTAAATTTCAACTGGACACTATATCAATATGATGTTAAAAATGCCTTCTTGAATGGTGAATTACATGAAGAAGTATATATGAGTTTACCTCCTGGATTTGAAAAAAATCTTGGAAGAAACAAAGTATGCAGATTGAGAAAATCCCTATATGGATTGAAACAATCGCCAAGGGCCTGGTTTGAGAGATTTGGAAGTGTTGTTAAGAGACACGGCTTCACCCAAAGTCAAGCAGATCACACTATGTTCTTTAAACACTCATCTGAAGGTAAGATTGCTATCTTAATAGTGTATGTTGATGACATTATTATTACAGGAGATGACGTCAAAGCAATTAGTGATCTGAAGAGAAGACTTGAGGCTGAGTTCGATATCAAGGATCTTGGAAAGTTAAAATACTTTCTTGGGATGGAGTTCGCAAGATCTAAAGAAGGTATTTTTCTCAACCAGCGCAAGTACATACTCGATTTACTTGCAGAAACAGGGATGACAGGGTCTAAAGCAGTAGAAACACCAATGGATCCCAATGTGAAACTAAAGTCAGTTGCTGAAGATGAAATAGTAGATAAAGAACGTTATCAACGATTGGCTGGAAGACTAATTTATTTGTCACATACAAGGCCAGATATAGCCTTTGCAGTGAGTGTAATAAGCCAATTTATGCATGCACCAGGTGCAGCCCACTTTGAAGCTATTTTCAGAATATTAAGATATTTGAAAGGTACTCCGGGAAAGGGGCTGATATTCAGAAATAGAGGACATATACAGGTTGAAGCCTATACAGATGCTGATTGGGCAGGTAATATAAATGATAGAAGGTCTACCTCAGGATATTGTACTTTTGTAGGTGGAAATCTAGTTACATGAAGGAGCAAAAAACAAAATGTTGTAGCCAGGAGCAGTGCAGAAGCTGAATTCCGATCTGTGGCCCATGGTTTTTGTGAAGTATTATGGATCAAAAAGTTCATGGAAGAATTGAAGTTCTTTGGCCCAACTCCAATTAAAGTTTACTGCGATAATAAGGCTGCTATTTCTATTGCCCATAATCCTGTCCTACATGACAGGACGAAGCATGTTGAAGTGGACAAGCATTTCATCAAAGAAAAAATTGACAGCGGTGAGATTTGTATGTCCTACATACCTACCAAAAGTCAAGTAGCAGATGTTCTCACAAAGAGTCTTCCAAAGAGACTGTTTGATAACATGGTGTGCAAGCTTGCTATGAACGATATATTCATGCCAGCTTGAGGGGGAGTGTTGAATATTAGCACAAAATCAAAACAGATTCTGTCATACAGCTCATTATGGCTGGATTCAAATTGTGATTAAATAGAAATTAATTGTATTATTATATTCTTACCTTATTTAGGATTAGCATTTATAGGGAGAATAATTACCCCTATTTCTTAGTGTAATTTATATTCTATAAATACTCATGTACTATGTTACAGAATAAACAATATAGAAAAAGCATATTTCTATAGAACATAATCACATATACAACAAGGCTGCTACTACTATGTTCAATACTTAATTAATTCATTAAGATATTTCATCTCGGGTTGGGTTGTGGAGTCTCCTGCTCTCTTATTTTTGCCAATATTTAATTTGTTGATCGGTATAAAATACAATAGATTGGATATAGAGATGCGTTGCTAGATAAGCATTAGATTCTAGCCTTTTCAATTTTTAACTGTTTTACTAGTGTCTTTGATTTATTTGCAGACACATTCAGTCATTGCATAGTTTACAGAATGCAATCAGGTCGCAACTTGTAGCTGCAGAGAGTCTCTCTGAATGCCTTTCAAAACAGATGACTACATTGAGTTTAAGGTCCCCAACTGAGGAGCAAAAGAATGTGAAAGAGCTCTTTGAAACAATAGGAATTCCCTATGACGCATCTTTTGGCTCTCCAGATACAAAAGTTCTTATGAAGACTCCTTCTAGTAAGAAGCTCTTGTTTTCTGATTTGACTAGCAGTAAAGAAAAATCCAAGAGAATTCAAGGCAGTTATATGAAGAGTTGTGAACCAGAAACGGCTAGGAGGAGGAGAGACTCACTTGACCAGGTATTTGTTACTCTAGCTTTGCTTGTTATACAAATATATGCCACAGGATTAAGTAGACAGATTGATTTGTGCTCTGCTCAGTTTGTTGCTGGAGTAAATAGTTTGTCGATATATTTCTACGTTGTATTTTATACTGTTGAATCTCCCGAGTCAATGGTCTCTCTTATTTAATGGCTACACCAGTTTTGTTTCTGATGGGTTATTGCATGTTTAAACAACTTTGATGCAGAGTTGGACCTGTTCTGAACCTCCTAAAACTATCATCAAAAGGATGCTGCTGCAAGACCTCCAGAAACCGAAGTGGAAAGAATCACCATTTTCAAAAGAAAAAATTAAAGCGTCCATGCCAGTGCAATCTGCTCCTCATCAAATGAATGCCAGAATTCCCTCAGGTGCCTTCCTGCTTCTAAAATCAATTGTTAACCTGATTCAAACCCATGGTTTATAATGAATGGAACTCTGTTTTTATTTATTAATAATATACTCGTAGCAGGCTTTCTGGATTCCCATTCAGCACTTAAAGATATGTCAGAACACTCAAAGGCATTTATGCAGGATGGCGACCTCAAAGCACACTTTCGAGTTTCAGATTCCAAGTCTCATGTTTTGCAAAGAAGTAATATCTCTGCAGTTCCCCCACGTCCTGCATTCCCCCTGTCACCTACAATCGTGCATGGTCATGCTACAGAATCGAGAGAAAATGCTGCTGAAAAACTGAATGTTAAAAAGTTTGATTCAAGCTCAAATAGTGAGAGCAAGCCTTTTTCACTCACGGAAATGCCTCAAAAATTCTCAATATCTACCCGTTTAACCACAGAAACACCATCATCTCTGTTTAAATCGAGTGCAGTGCCCATTACAAACAGTACAATGACTACGGGTACAAGTTTCACGATGGGAGACAAACTTTCAAGTGCATTTACTCCCGAGTCTTGGAAAAAAAACATTCCATCCTCAGAGTCACACTCGTCCTCTATTTCTGCAACTTCAAATATGGTTGGAAAAGTTTCCGGGTTCAATTTTGATAAAAGCTGGCCTGAAAATAGTGTTCCAGCAGTGCCCAAGTTTAGTAGTTCTCGTGATTCTCTATCTCCTCCTACTATTAAAACACCATCGGTATCTTCAGCATCATTATCTGTCTCGTCTATATCTTTGCCTCCAGCCACAGTGTCAGCGACATTAAGCAATACTATGACTAGTTCAAACTTCAGTATAGATTCTAATCACATGTCAACATCTTCAGCATCCAATTCTCTTCACTTATCTAATCAGGTCCCTAAACAAACGTTGTCCCCGTTACCTAATCCCCTTTCCTTGAACTCAACATTGGAGTCTCATAAATCGGAGATTCAACCAGCTGCTGTACCTGATTTAAAGACTAATTCAGATGTTGCTGCAGAAGTGGCCACTCAGCTAAATGAACCTCTAAATGGTCAATCTGAAATGAAGTTTGTATCTTCAAGAAACTTCAGTCCTACTAATGAACAGCCTGCCAAGAATATAACTAGTTCTGATATCAATATTGCCTCAGTGTCTCAATCAGAGCGGCCTTCAGATGCACCTCTGCAACTTTCAACTTCTTTTCTTACTTCTGCTAGTGTTTCAAGTGGGAAAAATGGGGGCTTGGATTTTGGACTTTCTCAGGAAGATGAGATGGAGGAAGAAGCTCCTGAGACAAGTAACTCAACGGAACTTAGTTTGGGAAGCCTTAGCGGTTTTGGAATTGGCTCAGCCCCTAACCCATCAGTTCCTAAATCAAATCCATTTGGGGGTTCATTTAACAATGTATCAACAAGTTTATCAAGCTCTACAATTCCATTATCAGTTCCCAGTGGAGAGTTGTTTCGACCAGCATCTTTTACATTCCCAAGCACTCCAGCATCTGCGCCAGCTCTGCCAACAAATTCAGGTGCATTTTCTGGGGGTTTTGGTGTTGGGGCAACTGTTCCTGCACAAGCTCCAAACTCATTTGGGCAACCAGCACAAGTTGGATCGGGGCAGCAGGTTCTTGGATCAGTTCTTGGTTCTTTTGGACAATCAAGGCAACTTGGCAGTGCTCTTCCTGGAAGTGGTTTTGCATCTCCCCCTGGTTTTGGTGGTGGATTTGCTGCTAGTAATAATACTGGTGGATTTTCAAATGCTGCTGTTGGTGGAGGGTTTGCTGGTAGAACATCAGCAGGTGGAGGGTTTGCTGCCATAGCATCCACGGGTGGAGGCTTTGCAAGCGTTACATCCACAGGTAGTGGATTTGGTGGATTTGCCAGTGCTGCTCCTGCTGGTGGTGGATTTGCCGGTGCTGCTCCAGCTGGTGGTGGATTTGCCGGTGCTGCTCCAGCTGGTGGTGGATTTGCCGGTGCTGCTCCCGCTGGTGGTGGTTTTGGAGCTGCTGCTACTTCAACGGGTGGATTTGCAGGAGCCGGTTCTGGTGGTGGTGGGTTCGGGGCATTTAACGGCCAAGGAAGTGGTGGTTTTTCTGCTTTTAGTAATGCTGGAGGTAACAAACCACCTGAGTTGTTCACGCAGATGAGAAAGTAGTATTGCATTGCATCGCATCTTATACTTGAAAGTTCTTCCTCTAAAACAACTCGAAAGCAGTGAACTCAATTGTGGTTTTCCAAAAAGAAACATGAATACATATCTTCTACATATCTTCTAGAAGAGTAAATGTTGCAATTTTGAAGTGTAGAATTTTGTTTTATCCTTAGCACTACGATGTAAAACTTTTCTGGAGCAATGCATGAAATATGTAGTCATGGTTATGGTATGATGCTCTGTTCTGCTTTGAAATTACATCTGAAGCATAGTGCTTATAAAAAAAAAATTAAATCAGAAGCATAGTAAAAATATTTTAGTCCTAGATGGAATATTAGGACGGAAATTGATCTATCTAGTCCACCTCATTTAGTGAGATAAGCGTATGTTGTTGTTGAATGTTTAGTAATTTCGTGATGTTTTTTTTAGGTAACTAATTTCGTGATGATTGACAATTTTAAGATATAATGAATATAAAAATATTACTATCTCTGTATTAAGAAAGACATTAATATTGTCAAAAGATATTACATATTTATTAAATTAATTTTATTAATACATTAAAAATAGTTTAAAAAGTAATAATTAAAGAGCCTAATTGAAAAAATATGTATCATTTATACATTGAATAGTTAAAATAAGTCATTTTAAAACAAATTTTATTTATCTAAGATTAATGTAATTAAACAAAGCAAGAGGGAGTAAATGATTACTTTCGTTCCAATAATGTTTGGAAACCAAACTATAACAATTGAAATAAGATAATGTAATGAATAGTATAATAGAAGAAATATTATATTACTGATCTACCGTAAAATGACATAAATTCCACATTTTGTCTGTTTATATTAACTTATATTGCTAGGGGAATTAACCATATTTATTAATGTTTATAATCTAGAGGGGGAATTTGTGAAGCATAAAGATGGACAATTTAACCGCCTCGATTAAAACCGAAGAATGTAACTATCTAAAATCTAGTACTTGTATTTGTGAAAGAAAAAAAAAGAAAAGGTTGAAATTGTAATATATAGAACTTGTGTATTTGTTGATATTACTGGATCGGAAAGGGATCAACAACTTATTACACATCGTGAACTTTTGTGTTCATTGGTATTGAAGAGTAGGAGGGGGTGTACCTGTAAGGTACTCCAATGCTAAAGTAAGTAGTAGAGTTAGAGAGAGCAAGTACAAAAAATAGGTGTAGAGTTCAGAATACCTGACCCTCTAGTAAAAGTAGGGATGACAAATAAACCCGGACCCGCTCGCACTCGTCCCGAAATTAACGAAAAAACCCGATTTAATTGGGTGCGGGTGCGGGGAAAACCCGGTTTTTAACTACGGGTGCGGGTGCGGGTAGACACCAAGGCCCGCTCACACCCGTCCCCGTCCCGCCTCCGGATAGTGTATTTTACTTTAATTTCCTTATTTTAATATTTATTTATCAATTATATTTTTAATTAAATTATTAATGCCCTTATTACAATTAAAATAGTCAAAGTAATCAAGTTAATATTCATTTACTAATTAAAATTTTAATTAAATATTTAATTAATTTATTAAAATAATCAATTTTTTAATTAAATTATTAATTTTTATTATAATTAAAACAAAATTAATTTTTTACGGATGGGGGCGGGTGCACCCGTTCTCCACTGGGGGCGGGTCTGGGTGGTAAAATTTCACTCCCGATTGGACTTGGGGGCGGGGGCGGGTGTGTTATATGGAGGCGGGTGCAAGTATGAGTATAGTTAAATCCGCCTCTGCCCCACCCCGTTGCCTTCCCTAAGTGAAAAAGGGTATTTATAGTGTGTCTCCAGCGCTGGGCCAACAGTCACTTTGCATTGGGCTAGATTGTCAGACCCATACAAGTAACTGCTAGGGTCTACGTGGCAAATGGAAGACCATCACGTGGTCTTCACCCTGGTCTAACTGTCCTGTGATCTTCAGAAGGTGGAAGACCGGTTCTTTAGGACACGGGTAGTTGCCAAATGACGTGTCCCCGCGTGGGGAACACGTGGAGAAGATGCGTGAGCTCTCCCCGCACTAGGTGGTAACTTGCCCGATCGCAGAGAATACTAAGCGTGCCTGACAGGGAGGAGGATTGGGCCTTACGGGATTTCTCCAATGTGAAATTGGGTTGGGCCTGTCCGACTGTGGGGCAGGTACTGGCCCAACCCAGAGCAGGAGCCTCCTAAGTCGTTGTTCATAAGTGGAGGAGTAATGACTTAAGCGTCAGCCCCAACGTCGAGGATGCGTCCGGGTGTCGAGCTCCTCCATATCGTGGTTGCTCTCGGGGAGCCGTGCTCGCTTGCTGCGGCCATGAGCTGCTCTTCGTGTTCCCAAAGAGATACTGTGGGCCCGCCTGCGTGGGAGACGTCGGAGGGGACGAGCATGTACGTTTCTGGGCCGGAGAGGAATCCAAACGGGTGCGTGAGGTGTCTGGTGACGCCACGTGTTAGGGAAATTAATGCATATGGCAGCAAGGATTAGGGGCACTCAAGTGCCTAGGGACGCCTTAAGTCCCGTGCTAGGCTTATAAATAGTGGGTGAGTCCGTTTCATTCGCACGTCTCCCTTCTTTAGCTCAAGACTTTCCCTATTCTCTTTTCGCGCTCTCTCTCTTCGCTTCTATTCGTCTGCCGTCTCATCGTCCAGGAACCACCGTACCAAATAAGTCTGCTTTACTTTAGTTTCTTGCATTTCCCGATGGTTTCTCCGGTGGCTTGATGAAGTTCCCGGGAAAACTATGAAGTTTTCGGCGAATACGCCAGAACTTCCTCGAATTTATGACGTTTCTGATGAAGGCCTCGGGGACCGGCAATGAGTGCGTCGGGGACATAAGATGAATGTCTCGAGGACCTGAAGAATGGCTCGAGAACGTTAGATGAAGGTCTCGAGGACATGATGAAGGTCTCGAGGGCCTGGGATGAGGACCCTGAGGACGTTAGATGAAGGCCCCGAGGACCTGATGAAGGTCGCGAGGACCTTTGCTAAAGGTTTCGGGGGCTCAATCCCCGCCTCTTGTAGACGTGGCGAGGTGATCCCCGTCCAGGAGGCTCCTCTGACCGGGAGGGATCTTGTAGTCGAGGAGAGACTTCTTCTAGATGAGCACCCTAGTTGGGTGTTTCTGATCGAGGAGGCCTGTCCAGCAACTCTGTGCCCCTCTTTTCGCCCTTTCACTTGGTTTGCGGTGGAATGGTGGATTTGATCTGGAATATCGAATTCACCATTTTCCTATGCTTTTCAGGTAAAAATGGATGTAAAAATGGCGTCAAGATGAGCCCGACTCCCCGGTCATGCAGACCAGTAAGGAACAAAAGTGGACTGCCGCAGATTGGGCCGGGTAGGAGCCCCTGAGCATTCCCTCTCGCTTTGCCGTGGACGAATCTGATGCTTACGCTACTGTCGAGGACCGTTGTGAGGGCTCCTCTATGAACTGGAAGGTGTATAAATTCTAGGAACACCATCAAATATGCTCGTCTTTTAAAGGGACGAGATTTCCCATGTATGAATTCACTTTTCGAGAAGCGGGCCCATATTTTCCCTTTAGTGATTTCCAACAGGGAGTGTTCGACTGGCTGCGCTTGGCGCCTTCACAACTCCATCCCAACGCAATCACGTTCGTGCAGGAGTACGAGCTCGTATGCCAGTACCTTAATGTCGGGACCACGCTGACTTTTTTCTTCCGCATCTTCCATCTTCAACGACAGACGTTCGAAGGTCGGCACAACTAGGTGTCCCTAAAGCATACGAGGAGACTGTTTCGGGCGTATCTAAACTCTATCCATACCTTCAAAGGCAGGTACTTCGTTGTCAAGCCCATCACCCACGTGGTTGTAGACTCGTTGTATGACCTCATGGTCAGGGAGAAAACGAGCAGTGGGAGGAGGTATTAGAATCTAAGTTTCCGCTGGAATGGAAGGAGGAACATTTAAAAAGAGGCACAAACAACTACATAGTTAGGCCCGACTCGTTGGATGTCGAGGACCGGGTGGCCTACCAAAATCTGGTCGAGTTTGTCTTTGGCTTCACCCCCGCGAAATGTGCGACTCTGGACGAGAATTTTATCCTTAGCGCCCGCGGGGAGGTTCTTCGGGAGCCACGGTTGATAAACACGAAGGCCCTCCTTGAGTGTGCATTCGATGAGGAAGCTTTACAGTTCTTAGGTAGCGGGCACCCCCATTCACTAGTGTAATACCCCAAATTTTGCCCTCAGATTAGTCGATTCAGGTTGCATGACATTTCATTTGTGCATCAGCTAATTACTAACGGGTTACGTAGTTTGTCTCGTTTTGCAGGAACCGCGTCTGGTACACTTTAGTTGTTGAAGGGCAAAATGGTCATTTTCACGTTGTTTGCTGACAGTCCTTGAAGCTGAGTTATCATCAGGAATTTATTGAATAATCAGGACCTCCGTCTCCGAGTTCTTTATTCTTTGAAGATAAACAGAAATTCACGGTATTCGCATCAGGATGTTCGAGATACGGTAATTAATTCAATGGGCTGAGACTCTGTCGTCAGTGGATTTCTGAGGCATTTATTCTGTCATATGGGTTGATTAGTTTGAGATATCCGTTTGGTTTGGTTCAAGTGGGTGCAAGAATCCGTTCTGAGGAATTTGGTTTCAATAGATATTTATTTTCTGTTTCTTCTGTTGCCCGCTATTTAAATCCCTAAACAGAAAGCAGTATGAACGTCGGCTCAAGTCCATATCAGTTTAATTGCATTTTTTGGCCGAGTTGGTTCACGGCAGGGGATTTATTCATCAGAGACATAATTTGAATGTCGGTACGAAGTTTAGTTCTGTTCACTGCTAATCAGATTTCTCTGCGTTTTTTTTTCATTTCGTTCAAGGTCGGTATCGCTTATATTACCGGGCACAACTTAATTTGTGGAAAACATGGGTTGTTTAATCTAGTTGATGAGGTTCAATCGGGATTTGTGTTGGAAATGGGAATAGTCGGACAAATTGGAAAAATTAGGAATTAATAAAAAAAATTG